CTTTTGCACAAGAACTCTTGCACAAAACAGTTCTTGCGCAATAAAAAGCCTTCAGTGTAGAAGTAGCCCCTGAGTTTCCACCAGCACAGTGAGCGCTCTCAATCCTTTTATAAGGCCTATGTGTTCATTAAGCTATCACCTGACCATTTTAACTCTACTCCCTCAGGGTGGGCAGCAACTAATTAATTACGGCACGGTTGTTGCTCATTTCCTCATTCCCCTTTATAGGCACTAGGCTCTTTGCCACCGTCATCCAATCAAGGTCACGAGACCATGAAACTTAGGGTACGTCTACGCTAGCCCCCTAGTTGGAACTACGGAGGCTAATGAGGATGACCGAAATTGCTAATGAAGTGCGGGATTTAGGTTGGCCAGAGGAAAAATTTCCTAGTGATCAGGGTGATTAAACAGTGGAATAAATTGCCTAAGGAGGTTATGGAATCTCCATCTCTGGAGATATTCAAGAGCAGGTTAGATAGGCATCTGTCAAGAATGTTCTAGTAGGTGCTTGGTCCTGCTGTGAGGGCAGAGGACTGGACTTGATGACCTCTCAAAGTCTTTTTAGTATTCTATGATTCTCCCACCTATGATCTGTTCAAGTTGTAAGTTGCTTGGGGACAGAGGAGGTGTGTCTAGACAACAGGGTTTTGTCGACAAAAGTCCACTTTTGTCGACAAAACTATACCTGCGTCTACACTACCCCTGAGTTCTGTTGACATAACGTCGACAGAACTCAGCAGTTTTGTCGACGCTGCTAAACCTCATTTTACGAGGCATAACGCTTTCTGTCAACAGAGTTCTGTCAACAGAAGGTGTTACTGCATGTAAACTGTCCTTTGCGTCTACACTACCATGTCGACAAAGCAGCTTGCTTTGTTGACAGACCTGAATGTAGTCCAGATGCTCTTTGTCGACAGAAGCCTGTAGTCTAGACGTACCCAGGGGTTTCTTTTTCTACCTATTTTGAAATAACATCTAGCACAATGGGTTCCAATCTTGGGTGGGTGCTCCCAGTGCTACCATAATCAAATAAATAAATGACTACATTATAAGCCATGTCACATTTAAAATATTAGGCACAAACCATCTGCCCAGCAAGAGTCATTTAATGAAAAACTTGTGAATAAATACATGAGAGAGTCTCTCAGTTTCTTGTCAGGCAGCAGAAAAAGAGAGTCAACTTTCCCAATAAGTTGTTTGTTAGGAATTACTGCCCAGATCCCTGCCACCTTGTTTTTCTCCTGCTGATCTACAGCCTCATCCCTTGTGTTCTCTGACTCCTCTGCCCTCTTGCTCTTCCCATCCTCCTGAATTCCATTGTTCCTTGCTCTCCACCGACTGTTTTCTGTTCACCCTGAAAGACCCGGGTAGGAGAGAGGGATGGAACTCAGAGGACATTTCTATGCTTTATGGCACCTTGATGATTGAGTGTCTGTATTCAGCTAGCATTTGATTAACTCACTTTATGTTATTTTTGTTAGATGTGAATGCACACTGAGCCTGCTCTGATGGATATGCTTTTAATAATAAAAAACGTAAATAAAAATAAATCAAATCTTTGCAATGTAAGCAACCTGTGGGTTTGGGTCTGGAGACACCGAAGGAATGAAGCAGCAGCATAATTTACAAAAAAAAGCTAGGAGTGAAAATTATTCTCAGCTCAGCACCTGCCAGGGAATGCTGAGATTGTTTCCAAGGGAAGTGTGTGGATACTGCTGGGAGCTGGAGCCAGTTTCTAAGGCGCTCAGAGGAGACAAATCGAGAAGCAAATGAGACGAATAATGTCCGTCTGGAGCAGTGGGTTATCACACAATCACTGAGCAGCCTTCCAAAGAGACCTAGCATTGTTATAGATTCTGCCTCCCAGCCCTCAAGTTTTACCTGTGGGACAAAATAACAAATTACAGACTTTGCAGCATCCCCTTATGATGCTGCATCCATGAGTGATGAAACTGCATCATCATCACATATAGACACAACATTGTGATGCTGCATTATGATACATGGTCATGGTATTGTGAGGCCTGAAATTAATTGGTAACTCTTTAATCTGGCTTTGTAAGAGGGGGGACAAATCTATGGCCATCAGGACCATCCCACTGTTTTGGGCGTTGGTGCCAATCTGTCTTTAAGACTTAGGTTCTCATTTATCTGATTGTCCCATGACTTGTCTCTTCCAGGCTCTTTAGAAATGTAAACCTGTCTCTGTCACTGGTGAATTGTTTCAAGCCAGTGTTTAAAGTCTCCTACTCTTATAGGGCTGAATCCAAAGCCCATTAAAAACAATGGAAAGACTCTCATTGACTTCAGTGGGCTTTGGAACAGGCTTGTGACGGGCTACGTCTACACTGGCCCCAAATTCCAGAAAAGGGATGCAAAGCAGGTAAGTCAGCATAGGGAAATCCGCGGGGGATTTAAATATCCCCCGTGGATTTAAATAAACATGGCCGCCGCTTTTTTTCCGGCTTGGGGAAAAGCCGGAAAAAAGCGTCTAGACTGGCGCGATCCTCCGGAATAAAGCCCTTTTCCGGAGGATCTCTTATTCCTACCTGAATCCTACCTGAAGAATCCTACCTGAATTCCTACCTGAGGAATAAGAGATCCTCCGGAAAAGGGCTTTATTCCGGAGGATCGCGCCAGTCTAGACGCTTTTTTCCGGCTTTTCCCCAAGCTGGAAAAAAAGTGGCGGCCATGTTTATTTAAATCCACGGGGGATATTTAAATCCCCCGCGGATTTCCCTATGCTGACTTACCTGCTTTGCATCCCTTTTCCGGAATTTGGGGCCAGTGTAGACGTAGCCACGGTGTTTGCTGTGTGTTTCAGCGAAACATTTCAAATCTCATTCATCATTTTTGAAGCCTTCTCAGCTGGCACAAATTAGCAGAATTTCCCTGAAATAGTTTACACCAGCAGAAAGTCTGACTCTTATTTATACTGAAATGGAGTGGATTTAAAAAGCTACAAAAGTTCTCCACTCACTTTGACCCCACTGTAACTGACTAGTCAGTGGTGACCCTAAATGCTCAAGGCCTGACAATTTTCTCCCTTCTCTAGGAAACCATCTGAGTGTGACACACCCAAAAGCTGGGCTCAAAACAGTTTTCATGATAGTCCTGGCTTCTTAATGTTCACATAACCCCACCCAACATAGCTGGCAGCAGCGATAATTTCATTAACTCTTGGAGCCAGATTTTCACCACTGACATAAGCACATGTACCTCTACATAATTTAACCCATATAGTAAATGGTAGAGGCTACTGGATCTTCCAACCTGATCCTCTTTTTACCTATTTTGTTGAGTTTCTATTTACGCCAGTCCCACACATATCTGCTCTAGTCTGATCTTGAATCTCAGCAGTCATGGTACCTCTGGCCATGAAAATTCTTAGGCCCAGATTCTCTAAGGAAGTTAGGTGCCTAACTCCCATTGCAATTGATACACCTAAATATCTTTGAGAATTTAGCCTTAGCCAAGGCTTTTACTTCTGTAGCTTCCAGCTTGTCACTCTGTACCCCCAGTGTCATCTCAGCTTGTGAAGCATTCTCCTGAAGGGATTTAGTGTTTTGTTATGGGATGTCTCTTTGAATGTTCTCCTCACACGTTCTTTTTTCTCTCTTGGGGGGTGTTTTAGGGCTTGACCCAGGTCACATCCCTGGCTCACTGAACATGCCCTTCTTTGAATTCCTCACTGAAGCTGGCTTCGAGAAGAGCCCAGAGGAGATTCGGAGCATGTTCCAGGAGAAGAAGGTGGACCTCTCGCAGCCACTCATTGCCACGTGCCGTAAAGGGATCACAGCGTGCCACATTGCCCTGGCGGCGTACCTCTGTGGCAAGCCAGATGTGGCCATCTATGACGGATCCTGGTCAGAGTGGTTCCGTCGAGCCCCGCCAGAGCACAAGCTCTCTGAGTGGAAGCGCAATAAGGCATAAAGGGACAGAGGCTGCATCGCAGTCCGTTAGCATTCATTGGGAGTGGGGTTTGTCAACGGTCTTTGTTCAGGGGAACTGGGAACGAGGGCAGGGGCAGCATTGCATTCTCTCTGTGTTGTAGCTAGTCCAGTTTTGTAAGACCAAATCATAGGCTTTCAGTCTATCTTCCTTTTTTAATTATGCCTCTGAATAAAAGTTCTGCCTTCTGATTGTGCATCTGTGTGTGCCTCTTATCCTCCCCAGTGACTTGGGGAGCTCGCCATGCTGTGATGCTACTCTGTGCATCTGAAGGAAGAATAGCCACGTTATGCAGGGGGAAAGTTACACTGTCCCATGAGAGGTTTTGAGAAATCCCAGCTGGATTGGGAACTACTGAAACCAAGTTACCAACACCCCCAAAGAAATGGGGTGAAAGCATAGGGCTAGGCATCAAGCATGACAGGGTCTAGTTCTGGCTTTGCCATGGATTCATTGTGTGGCCTTGGGCAAATCACTTAACCTCCTTTTCCTAGTCTGTAAAAGGGAGGTAATGACATTTCTCTCCTGGGGAAGTGTCTGAGGAATGTTTGGGTGGAAGATGCAGTAGAAGTGCCAAGTCCTATCAATTGTTATTATTTTATTATGAGAGCCACCAAGGAACCCCACACACGAGGGCCTGTGATCTTTCTGAGACACGAACTTTTTTCATCCCCAAAGATAACACCCAACTGTGCCTTGTTTATTTTGGTTCCCATGGTAACTACAGCTCACAGATGGGGAGGGTTGTTCCCTAGCAACCATCCCTGAAGCTTGCTCTCAGTTCCACCTCTTTGCCTGCACAGCTGGAGTTCAGCAGGACCTGCCTGGTTAGAAGAATCACTTTGTCATCTCAACTGAGACCATGGAACAGGTGAGCGAGACATTTATGAGAAAAGCTTCACCTCTGAGCCTCCTGGAAGCTGAGCCCAATTGCCACCTCCCTTCAGACACAAAGAAACTCAGACAGACACACAAAACAAAGACAGGATGAGCCAATCAAAGACACCATTTCATAGGTGCTGCCACAGTGCTTGTCAGGCCTGAGCCAGCACATTGATCGCACTATCTTTTTTATGCCCGTCCAGGCCACATGTGGCAGGCGTGCGGGGCTATTCTTGGTCACCTCTGGCAGCTGATACTGAGCCCCATTTGGCAGGAGATACCAGGCCACTTCTGGCAGGTGTATAGTTCATCTGTAATAATAATAGTGCTTTTCCCAGCCAGAGGCGTTGTAAGAATGGCACAGCAGTACCTTCAGCAGCCTGAGAAGGTTAGTTTTTTAGCTCCATAGAGACAACTCGCTTCTTTCTCCTTGGTCAATGGGAGCCAGAATGACAGGAGAGCCGGGACACAGTGAAAATACCGGAGGAACTGTGCTAGTAATTGTCTTCAGGAAAAGGCAGAGAAAATGGTTTGGTGATTGTATAGCTCTTTGGCCAGGAGTTGTTTTTTATGATATATATGTGTGGACATGCTGAGCACAATGTGCTCCGCGTAGGAGTCACTGGATGAAAGTCTGTGGCTTGTGCTATATAGGAAGTCAGACGAGATGATCTAATGGTCTCTTCTGGTCTTGATATCTCTGAATTAACCCAGTTCAAATCAACCTACCGTCACTGACCTGTGGCCTGCGGACCCCCGGCTGCCTCTCCCCCACACGCTTCACGCTCTGAGACACTGAAGTCCTGCATTTTCTTGCTCCTCCCCCTCCATTCCAGCAGGAGGGGACCATAAATCACCTGATTCGGGCTCTGTCCCCGTTCCTCCCCCTTCCTCTCAGAATGCTGCAAATCAGCTGTTCGCGGCTGTTCAAACTCTGGGAGAGAGGCTCCGAAAGGGCTGGGAGAGAGGGGGAGGAGCAGGTAAGTGTGGGGCTCCAGTATCCCAATATGTGAGAGGTGGATGGGGGTGGACAGGAGCTCTGGGGGCTGCAGGTGGCACCCCAGTGGGCTGCGGGCTGCTGTGGTCCACTGAGGTGAAGGAAGGCCACTATTCATGGTTCCCCACCCCTGAGTGGGGTAACGTAGAGTCCTGCAATCTGTTAAAAATACAATTAAAATGCTTGGGTGTTCTCAAAAGGGATTGAAAATAATTCAGAAAAGAATGTAACCTCTAGGAGCTGCTGTAAGAAAAATACTAAGTAGCAATAATGATAATGCAATTAGTCCACATCCCAGAAAAGAGGATCTGCCTGTGAACTGTAAAGTCACTCAGCTTATCAGAAGCTGGAGCAATCAGGGTGTGTCTAGACTACATGCCTCCGTCGACGGAGGCATGTAGATTAGCCAGTTCGGCAGAGGGAAATAAAGTCGCGATTAAAATAATCGCGGCTTCATTTCCCTCTGCCGATCTGGCTAATCTACATGCCTCCGTCGACGGAGGCATGTAGATTAGCCAGTTCGGCAGAGGGAAATAAAGTCGCGATTAAAATAATCGCGGCTTCATTTCCCTCTGCCGATCTGGCTAATCTACATGCCTCCGTCGATGGAGGCATGTAGTTTAGACGTACCCTCCGAGTGACTAAGTTAATTGCTTTGTGACCAAAGGAAAGCAAGGGAGGCAATACTTCAAGCCTTCTGAGTCAAAGGGTGACCCACAACTGGGAGACCTGCAGAGCTGGGAAACAAACCATCTTCAGCCCATAAACATGGAAACAATAATGGTGGTAGCTTGATTTAATCCTAGGTGGGAAGCAGGAGTTAACATTGGTACCAAGTGGGGCAGATCCATTTGGTAATGTAAAGTCCTGCAGTCTGTTAAAAATACAATTAAAATGCTTGGCTGTTCTTAAAAGGGATTGAAAATAATTCAGAAAAGAATGTAATTCTGTGCTATGGGGTGATCATGTGCCTTCACTCAGGGCCTGATCTAATGGCCAGAAAGTCAATTGCAACCAGTCCAGGCAGGGACTTCACGAGAGTTGGAACAGTGCCCCATGAACCCCATTCAGGTTTGGCTATCCAAGGTGTAAGATTAGTAGCAGGCAGAGAAGAGCAAGGACACAAGTTAAAATGTGTGGGTGGGATCTGACTTCGGCAGCTACCTAGACACTCTCCCTGCAGAAGGCAGTCAGACTGGGGAGTGTGCTGCCATTGCAGGGCGCAGAGTAAAATACACTAGGGCTATGTCTACACTGCAGGCTTTTCACGCAGGAACAGCTTGTCTTGCGCAAAAACTTGCCGTGTGTCTACACTGCATGTGCATTCTTGCACAAGTAAATTTACAGTACAGCATCAGAAAACAGGAATAACAGAGTTATTCCTTTCCCCACGAGGAATAAGCCCCCTTGCGCAAGAGCTCTTGCGCAAGAAGGCAGTGTAAACAGGCAACATGATTTTCTTGAGCAAGAAACCCCTATGGCTAAAATGGCCATCAGAGCTTTCTTGCACAAAAGAGCATCCACACTGCCATAGACCCTCTTGCACAAAAGCACAGCTCTTGCGCAAAAGTACATGGTAGTGTGGACATGCTTTTGTGGAAGACCTTTTGCACAAGAACTCTTGCGCCAAACAGTTCTTGAGCAAGAAGCCTTCAGTGTAGACGTAGCCTAGCTGTTTTTTTAAACAAAAGGGCTGGCTAAATAGCATTAGCTAGTACAATTTGGGTGAGGGTGGTCAGAACAAAGCATATAATGATCACTGCGCTGTGCAAGAAGGATTTCCCTCCCTATGTGCAGCATTGCAAGGAGTCCTAGTCACGTCCCCTCCCCGTCTTTGTCGGTCTTGTCTAGTTAGACCTTAAGCCCTTTGGAGTAAGGGCAGTCTCGCACTGTGTTTGTGCAGCATCTGCCACAACGCAGTCCTAATCTTGGGTGAGTCCTTGAAGTGCCACTTTAATATACGCAATAATAAAATGTTAATGTCCTCTCTCCATGGCAAATAGTATTCTATAGGGATTGATTATGCAACACTCCAGGCTGCAGCTTTTTGGACCATTCCCGTGGAACACTCTAGTGCTTTTTTTTTTATGACAGAGGATTGATGGACCAAACGGCTGCTCTGGCATGGTAATTCCTAGACTGATCAGGTGCAGCAAATTCTATTTTAAGCTGGTGTGGCATCCCCTCAGTTTGGTTGGGCTCTGTCTAACTTCTGATAAACATCTGGCCTAACCCAAATTCCGAGCTCCTGCTCTCTGCCTACCTAATACAGCCTTTGTTTCTTTTTCAAGGAGGTGCCTATGACCTCAGCCTCCCTTTCACCTGCTGCAGGAAAACATGAGTCTATACTAGCCAATGGCTCATCAGGTATGAGACACAATGGAATTGCTCATTCAGTCTTGCTGACGTAATTCCCAAATTCCATGGGAGTTTTCCTCCATCCTTTTACACGCTATTTGGGTTCCTGTGTGATTGCTTGTTTGCATGAGTACGTGTTGATTAGATATACATGTGTACGAAAGGATGACCACATGGGTTTGTGAACTGATTAGCTACCTACACCTGTGGGAATGAGTCAACTGGCCCTTGCCAGTGAACTCCAGTGGCAGCTAGATGCGCTGAGCCAGAGCAGCTGTGGCCATGGAGAGACCAGTGGGCTGGGCAGTGGGACCTCACTGCCGTGGTGGGACCTTGTGGCTAAGGCAGGACCGAGAGTAGGTGGGAGCTCATGGGGTCAACAGAATCCCAATACTGCAGCTGTGATAGGGCCAGGTGGTGGGCCATGAAGCAGGCACTAATTTAAAATGCTTACGCTCTAGCATGTAACTGATTAACCGTTTTGATATCCCTACTCACAGACATGCCTATGCTGCAGGCGTGTGTGTGTATGCAAGCAGGGCCATCCTTAGGCATAGGCAGCTGCATTTAAAATACCATCCTCTATCAAAAGGATGGCAAATCTGTGGAGCTTTTCCTTCTTTCTTTTTTTAGTGGAACCTGAAGATGGCAACAAGGAACGTATCCTGGCAGGGGCAAGGGCCAGCAGCAAGAGAACCTCCTTGAAAAGTTCCAGTAGAACCTCCTGGAAGGTCTCCAAGAGCCCTATAGAGAGTGGAACACCCACAAGTTCTCCTCAAGTCAAATCCCAGGCGTCCCCCTCTGCACAGCATCTCTACACCAGAAGTTATAGCAAACAGAATCTCCGACCCAAAACTCCTGCGCGGTGTCATCTCACCGGAGAAGGAGAAGCAGCCCGGGATGTCTCAAGTTCTAAGGAACTGGCAGTGGGGCAACATCAAAGAGGGAGGACAGGAAGTCTCTTACATCTTGCAAAGTCCACCCAGAAGGAGGCAGAAAATGTCCAAGCCTACTCAGGTGGCAAAGAACCAGGAGCAGGGCAACATCGACCGCTGGGACTCAGGGTGCCTGGATCTCTCCGAAAGACCTCCAACACCAGCCATAAGGAAGCCAGGGAATTCCGGAATGGCTTACGTGCTAAGGAGTCCTTAGCATCCATAGGGCAAGACGTGAAAGCCGAGGGGAAGCTCTTTCAGGAGAAGGAAAGCAGCATAATCCCAGTTAACATCAAACACAAGTTCGGGAGCAGCATCGTGGAGGATCTTGTCACCGAGGAGCAGGTTGTGGAAAAAGTGGTGCAGGAGGCAGGGAGAGGGAACTTTTGGGGGAGGGTTCAGTGATTACAAATACGGCATCTGGAGGAGGGTGTTTTAGGGGGAGGCATGTGAACTTTGCAACTGGAGGCAGGTCAAGTTACTCCAGGGGAAAATTCCCTCTCTCTCCTTACACTCACAACGAAGAAGCAGAAAGTGAAGACTATTAGAGACAACAATAGTGTTGTAGTGCTAGATGGCTTGAGGCTGGGGGGGTGGGCAGCACCCACCCACAGGCCGTATTCAGACTTGTTGCAAGAAGATGACACTCTATTGATTTCAGCTAAGCTACACTCATTTACAGCAGGTGTGAATTAGCCTGTGTATTTAGGGTGCACCGAATCATCAGGTTTCATGCTGGTGGCAGAGGTATACAGGAACAGGGCTTGCCGGGGGGGATTAGGGTACATCTTGGGCCTGCAATGAGGGCTGGAGGTGCCTCCAGGGAGTTGGGTGCACATGGGACTTATGGGGCAAGACTGACTCCATGATGTTTGTGCTTGCCAGGCACGCCGAGCTCTGTGTGAGGCTGGTTTGATTGAAGGGCAGAAACGACTCAGCAACCTGACACCTAAAATACCAGAGAACCCCATGGCCACCACACCCTTTGCTGATTATTTTGAACTGGGTTACAATCTGAGGTCAAACATCTTCCAAGGTGAGGGGCCCTTCATTTCTACCTCCAGCTGTCCCTGTACTATTTGCACTGCCCTGGGCTCCTGCAATGGTGTTTGTGTCTCTTTAACTACACCTCCTCCCTCCCACTCCTCCTCTGCTCACCCCTCAGATTCAGAATGCTCCTTTAGCTCCTAAAACTGGGGGTTAAATGAGGCATGGCGGATTCAGAATGCTCCTTTAGCAGGATACAGTGTTAAAACTGGGGGTTAAATGAGGCATGGCGGTGGGTCCCTTTTTTGCCCATTCCTCCTTTTCTTTATCTTCCCCTCTTCCTTCTTTCCAACCAGCAACAGTGAGACATGAGGGTCCAGTGCAGCCACCCATCTTTCCACCATCCAAGAGCTGCCTAGCGGGTAGCTTTTGCAACCAAACATCCCACATTAAAAGCCCCAGTTCAAATCGTAATTCCTGTTCCTCTTTGAGGCCTTTGCAGATACTCTGGTCTGAAGCCTCTTCCCCAAGCCTCTGTGCCTCAAATCTTCCGCGATCCCTCAAGCTGGTCTAAACTGATTGCTGATCTAATCCGATTGGTGAGCTAGGTGTTCACACTGCTCTTGCCAGCTTGGTATCCGAGAGCCTTTTCTGCAGGCACCCCTCCCCCTGCTGCTCTATGTAGCGCCATAACTAGGTTTTTTTGCACCCAGGGCAAAATATTAATTATGTGCCCCCTGTCCTTAGATTAGCACGCGTCACTCTTTTTACTTTTGTAGCTGATTATTTTTACTTACTGCGCCTCTGCATCCCTCATTATGATGCTCCCAGAGTGAGTGCCCTGCTTTCCCTCCCCTTGTTATGGCCCTGGCTCTACAAGCCCCCAGGAGTTGGATTGGGGTTATTGTGTGATGTGCCTGGCGTAGCATGCAGGAACCTCAGTGGAGAGTTAGGACTTTTGTATAGGCGGGTAACAATGAAAATAGTCCATCCCCAACAGGAAGCTCAGACTTGGCCTCAGCCAGTGACCAAAAGCAAGCCCGGGTGACTTGGGAGAATGAGGTAACAATGAAGCCAAGAAGAGCTGAGCAAGTCTGAAGTCACAACTTGCTATTGCCTAGCAAGGGCTGGATGGGAGTGGTCTGGAGGTGGCTCAGATATTTTTTAGGGAGGGATTTAAGAGGGTGAATCGGTGGCTTTGTGAGTTACACCCAGGCATCAGAGCAGGTGGGGAGACCACACATAGGTGCTTGAGGGAAAAGTAGGCCTTGGGCCATGACTAAAAATGATGCCCCACCATGGGCCTGCACTACCTAAGGACAGGAAGTCCTAGCAGACAATGGGCAAGAATTCGCTGGACAGAGCCCAAGTGATCACAGACCCCAGCAGAACACAGGGCTAAGTCAAATCTGAATGAAAATGCTAATTTCACATTCAGAGCCCTTTTCTCTGTCCTTTGTGATGGTGGGGATGCATCACAGGTGCCAGCAGCAGAGTGGCTCAGGGTAACAATTCCTGCACATCCTGTTTCTTACAGGTGGCCCATTAGAGAGTAAGAGCCTGATGAAGGATTCCTATACACCAGATGTGATTCAAAGGGCAGTCAGAGACCCCAAGCATTGGCATGGAAGGAAAACCGATGAGCTAGGTAAGTCTTCAGTCACGTGAGCAGGCAACTGATGCACTTCAGAGATTAAGAAAGGGAGCTGATGGGTTAAAGGTGGGTATTGTCACAGGAGAAGAGCCATTGAGCCAGGGCTGAGCACTCCCACAGGCAGGTGGAAATCCTTCAGGCCCACAGGGAGGGCGGTATCATTAGGAACGAAGCAGTGAATGAACTGTAGTTTGTCTTCTTTCTAGGGCGATGGCATCAGAAAAATGCCCTAAACCTTAACCTGCAAAAAGCTTTGGAGCAGAAATATGGAGAGAAGAACAAAGGTACCAAATCCTAGAAGGCCCAGGGTAAAGAAGCGAAGCACACTCCAGCTGGAATCCTTCTCTGCCTCGGCTTAGAATAAACCTCTGTGCAGGCTCGATGGGTGTGCTGGCTGAGCGTCAGTGATACCAGTGGCAGGAAGAGAACTGGGCAGTCAGCCGGCAGAAACACAATGGCAAAGCCTCTTCTCCCAGGAAAAGGGAGGGAGAGTCTTTGGGGGCAGCAGCCTGTGAGGGGACTTTAGTAGCCATGGAAGCAGTTCTCACAGAATCCCCGTGGGGTGAGAGTGGGGGGCGGAGAGGCCCACTGAAGTGTGCCGTGTGGGGGTGCAGAAAGGAAATCTGGGACCGAATGAACAAGGAGACTGACTGTCCAGCAGACTGGGGCTAGCATTTAGGAAATAGCAGGGCTGGATGGGGTTTCCACTGTGGAGAGAGAATGTATGCACATGCGCGCAGAGGAAAACCCCCCACCCCCATGACTGAATGATCATGGATGGCACTTTGAAGGCTGCCAGCCCCTTTGTCTGTCTCTCCCCCTGGATTCTGTACACCGTTCTGAACAGCAGGAAGCTCCGTGGGGACCTGGCTTGGTGAGATGCAAACCAGGCAGAAAGCTATCTGTCTGTGGGCACTTTGTGGGAAGGCTCTCTTGCAGGTATTTGTAAGGGGCCAGTCGCTCTCCATACGGCATCAGGGTGCAACTCTGGTCCCCATCAGGGGCTGAGAGTGGGAGGCAATTTCCTTCCCTCTCGTAATTCTGATTCTGTTGATTTCTGTTGAAGAAATGTGGTGGGCAAGGGGGTGTCACACAGTAACACATATCCCGGGCTTGGGGGGCAGGGGTAGTTTGGGATCTGCTCGGGGCTGTCCTGTCTGACACAGCTCCTCAGAGAACCCAGGGGCTTCTAGTGCTCGCACCTTCCTGCTGGCTTCTCACAGAACGCCTACTTGCCACAAAGAGTCTGCAAGGAGAGAGGCGCCCGCTCTTTCCCCAGCTGTCCCACCATAGATACTGGAACTAAGGGTCCTACGGGGCCGCCACACCCCCTAGATTGAAATGGTTTCCATCATATCCAGGATTTACAGTTTGGTTCAGTGGCTCTCAGCACTCCCATGTACAAATTATTCCAGCACCCCTGGCCTCAGCCTCACTCCACACCCACAAGCTTGGAACTGCTGATTATTTTGCCCTCTGACTCTGGGCACAAAGTTGGGCTGTTTGCCTGTGGGACTAGGTCAGAGGGAGCCGACTGCAGCAGAATTCCAGGGTTTTGCAAGGAGAGGTTAAAATATAACTAGCAATACCTGTGGGACTCTCCCACCCTCAATCATTAACCATTACAGGGGTTGGGCTGTTCCAAGGCACCGTGTGTGGGGGGGCAAAAACTGCTTACTGACTAAAAAGGGAGACCAAAATGCAGGTCACAGAGGTCTCCTATTAGGCTTCCTTCTGCTTCCACATGGAGCGGCACAAGACCCAGCATGCTTCCAAGTAGCAAAGCACCACCATTCACACTGCGTGCCTGGGCTGATGCACAAAGAGGCTCCACGTGCCAGTTCAGTGCAGCCCTCAAGGCGCCCAGTTAGTGATGGAGCTTGTGTTGGTGCCTCAGCATTCTGACTGGAAAGCCTCAGCGCCTGACCCTGCCATTCAGTGCCTTTGAACAGCACCTTGGGTTTGGCGCCACACAATGTGAGCCCGGGCGGTGCAAGCAGAACCTCCAACGAGCACCCACCACCGTCAGAACGGAGCCTGCTGCCAGCCAAGGATGCTGCCCTGTGCTTTATGCAGATAGAGGCTGGGCATTTCTGGTAGCTTGAGGCCAGGAGATGTGCACAATAAAACCTCTCTCTTCAGGGCAGCCTATAGGAAATTGCCCATGCCTGAGAGCCGGCTGGAGCCGCAGTGAGAATTGCTGTTAATTATTCATTCATATAAATAAGGAAAAGGTCCAATGATTAGTTATGCGCACCACTGGCCAGGCCTGTCCCCAGGGAGGAGGAAGGTTAAGGGGACTACTGCCCTGCAGCCCAGTGATTCAAAAGGGCCTGTGGCAGCCAGAGCCCCAAGCCTTTAACCTCACCACCAAAGCCCGGGCAGCACCGAAGGGCTGGCAGAGGGAGGCTAGCTCCAGCCCTTTTGCCGGGGGCCTCACCTCTTCTAGGACCATGGAACCAGCCCCCCACCTTTCCTATGGGCCCAGCAATTCTGTTGGCCCCCCGTCATTGGTCTAGGTAACTGCTTACTTATATTACTATTGGTCTGTTCCTCCCTCCTGCCTTTAATTAGTCTCACATTTGTACAACCTTGCCTTAAATTACATTGGAAGCACTTCATAGCCCAGGCGGTGTCACCTTATGTGTGTGTACAGTACCCAGGCCTACAGAGATGAGCTGGAAAGCAGAAAGCAGGGAAGCTGGAGGTGCACAGTGAGTAGATAAGCATCCAGGCACCTGTGTACATGGGCTGCTCATACATGGGGGTTTTACAGTCTCATTCTACTGCTTACATAGACACAATAACAAAACCAAAGCACAGACTGGCACATGTGGCCTACGCTAGTCACAACAAGCTCAGGATTGGCATAGCAAGGTGTGTAATAAGTCAGGAATGAGTTGGGCTGGAAATGCTTTGGAGAGCGTCTCTCTCCACTCTGGTCGGCCTGAGGCAGTGCTGTCAGCCGCTGGCTTTCAAAAGCAATAAATTCACTTATCTCCCCATTTAAAAACAAACGCGTTTATCAGAGCTCACATTATCTAAAGGAGGAATGACACTGCTCAATGCAGGCCTAGCAGCATCCAATTAACATCACAGAAAAAACACAACCATACACTCAGAACAGCCCTTTCTTCACTTCGTCAGCCAGTCACACAGACTCAATAAGCCGACTTGACACATCCACCCATGGATTGAGAGGTGATTTTGCTAGGTCTGATCACTGGGTGGCAGTTCAGAGCCAGTGTTCCCTTGTAGAAAGGAACAAGCAAGAACTAAGGTTTCAGAAGGGTAGCCCACGTAGTTTATACAGGATAAACTTAAAAAAACAGCAAATAGTCTGGTAGCATTTTAGGGTATGTCTACACTACAGCACTAATTCGAACTAACTTAATTTGAATTAGTTAATTCAAACTAAGCTAATTCGAACTAGTGCATCTAGACCTAAAAACTAATTTGAATTAGTGGTTTGCTAATTCAAAATAGCATGTCCACACTGAGTGGACCCTGAACCGAAGTTAAGGCTGGCCGGAAGCAGTGCCGGCAGGGCATCAGGTTAGAACGTAGAGTGTAGAGCTTCTGTCTCAGGCTAGCTGAGGGCTGTGCTTAAAGGGACCCAACCCCCACCCCGGACAGACAGTTCTCAGGGTTCCCTGCTTGCTTGTCTACCTCGATGAGGGACAGCAAAGCAGTCCTGGCTTGGAGTGCCCTGAGTGCCCACACTCAGCACATCACAGCACTCGGCCATCAGCCCGGCTGCACTTGCCGCAGGCTGCCATCCGGACGGGGGGAGGGGGTCAATCGGGGGCTGTCAGGATCCAGGAGACCCTGCAGGAGAGCTTCCACCCCAAGGAGCCCGCAGAGCCACCCCAGTCCTCCCCATCAGGGGCTTGTGCCCCATTCCTCCCTCACCTCCTTCCACTTACCCCTCCCTAGCCCCCCTTCCTGATGTAAAAAATAAAGGACACGTGTGTTCAAAAATAGAAACTCTCTTTATTTAACAAAACTGTGGGTGGTGGTGGGGATTAACCTCTGGGGAGACTGGGAAAAGGAGGTGGGAGAGGGGAAGAGGGAGGGTGGGAGAGGGGAGGTGGAAACCAGGGAGGAGGGAGCTGGAAGGGGGAAGCCAGGGGAAGAAGGAGGAAGGGCAGTATAAAACTATGGTACGCCATATCTTCAGTACTGTGTACAGATGTGATCTCCTCACCCCAGAAAAGATATTTTGGCTTTGGAAAGGGTTCCGAAAAGGGCAACTAAGATGATCAGGGGTTTGGAACAGGTCCCATATGAGGAGAGGCTAAAGGGACTGGGACTTTTCAGTTTGGAAAAGAGATTGAGGGGGGATAGGATAGAGGTCTATAAAATCATGAGTGGTGTGGAGAAGTTGTATAAAGAAAAGTTCTTCATTAGTTCCCATAATAGAAGGACTAGAGGACACCAAATGAAATGAATGGGTAGCAGGCTTCAAACTAATAAAAGAAATTTCTTCTTCAACAAAGCAAATAGTCAACCTGTGGAACTCATTGCCACAGGAGGCTGTGAAGGCTAGAACTATAACAGAGTTTAAAGAGAAGT